TGAAGCAACTGCCATGTGATTGGTTGATTAGATAATTGCATTAATGAGAAATTGAACAGGTGTTCCTAATAATCCTTTAGGTGAGTGTATATAGCTTTTGCTCTTGGTTAGTAGTTTGAGCTGAGTTATAAGTGCAATAAATTTTATGTTAAATAAAAGAGGCCGCTATGTAATATTGGCACATATTTTCTTATACAATATTGCTGTAATCCCACATTATAGAGTAATATTTTTGTGGTCTTGGTTTGTGTCTTTTGTTTAACATGTATTATTTTGTTTCTGGTCTATAAGTCGCTTTGAAGAAAAGCACCAACCAGAAAATTAAATGTAAATATGAGCAGGTCCTAAAGCCAACTATGCATTTCCCAGCATTTTGAAAATTTTTTAAATGCTTGTTTAAAACCTCTAGTGTAAGGGATAGTAAGAGAACTTACAAAGTCACGTTACTGTAAAACCACGCTTTATGAATTAGGATAACTAGGTTCCTTTCCACAAATCAAATGACTTACAAATTAAATAACTGTCCCACTCCCCCCTCCCCCAATTGCCACCATCACTAGCCTGCAATCATTAGACATGGGAACCCATCCACATGTTTCGAGACTGGACTGCAGTGTGCTACAACGGGGGGGGGGGCACACATAAAGAGCCTTTTCTTTCCTTTCCTGCCCCTTTCATTGGGTACGTAAAGGGGGTTACCAGGGTGATTGGTCCCTCCTGCTGAGGAGGTCTGGGAAATCTGCAGCTTTTCCTGACATTTTCTGGAGCAGGGAGAGGAATAACGGTGAGTAAAGATGAGGGAAGCCGGGCAGACGAGGAGAGGAAGGAGGCGGCCAGCGCCCCTGTAGCATCAGGAGAACATACTCCCACATTCTGAGACAGCTGGATCCTCCCTGTTTTTCTTTTGTCTCCCATCTCAGATTGTCCCTTTATTTACGGTACTACTGCTTTTCCCTGTTTTTCTTTCTCTTTCTTTGGATGGTTTTGACAGAAAGACAACAAACTGGAGTATCTCTCCCCATATATTGAACTTTCAACTTATCCTCCAGCTTGCACTGTCCCATAGAACAATAAAACAAACACTGTGGTTTTTAATGAGAACTAGTATGACAAGTTTAGCCAATCATGTTATTCAACACTGAAATACTGGACTGTATCCAATCTGACTAAATAACCAATTAGAGAAGCATGTTTTAC